GGAATCTCACTCTGGAGCATTTTTGCATTCAACAAAATTAAGCATCCACTTTCTACAGAAATCTATTCAAGCATGATTGTCAAGCAACCAAAGTGGGTGAATTCCTTGCATTTATGGAGGTAGAGTTGAAAGTGAAATAGGAGCTAAGCCCATTAGGAAATAAATTGAATTCATCCAAGAGACAAGTTTTGAGAGATTTCTGCACAAAGATCTGGTAGGAATTTATAGAGATGTAGAAGATGACTCTAGGAAAACTCCCAGGAGTCAGGCTTAGGTGGAGATTGGTGGTGGTGAGGATTAAGGGAGACAGAGCTGCAGCTCATGTAAGAAAGAGACTATCTCATCTATCTTTGGGAGCATTCTTGGGCACGGCTGACTTAATCTTTCTCCTACTCTGATCCAGATAATCATCTTCTCTTCCACGCTACCTCTTTGTCTTGTATACCGTCTAGGTTTGCTTCTGCTATTAAACAATAACGTATGTTTACTTTTCTTTCTTTCCTACTATTCTCGGAGATCTCGTTTATCTCTGCAAGCTCAGGACCAGACACTAAGATACTCGGTACTTCAGTAAACCTTAGTTGAATTATCAGTAGTGAGTGAAAGCAGCTTAGGGGGAGAGCAAGGGGTTTTGATTGGGGGTTAGGGGTGGGTAAAGGAGTAATAGAGAGAAGATGATTAGCTGAACTTTGAACATACTGAATTGGGAGACCTTGTGGAATATGAATGTAATGAGAAATAACAGAGTTTTAGATATATATATTTGGTTTTTATGTTTTCTGTTGTGTTTTTTTAGATATACATTTTGGGTTCATCAGCATGTATTAAGATCTGTGTATAGATGACAGTCTTTGGGCAGTGGCTTCCCAAGCATTTTCCTCTCAGAGTAAAAAGGAGAAGGCTCAGAATTATAAAAAGGGGGAGTGCTATTGGAAGACCATGGGATGATCCCCAAAGAAAAGGAGAAATCAAGGGAAGAGAATTTAAAACAAGAACAGCATAATGTCACTGAGGTCACAGAACAGAGTTTCAAGGAGAGCAGAGCTAAATACCACAGAGATAAGAGTAGATGTACCATCTTATTTGGCAGTCACCTTTGGCTAGGAAGCTTTGAGTGTAATGTCAGGGCCAACAGCCTGAGGGTACAAAAATGAAGTCTGTTCTTCCAGGAAGCCTCAGAAGAGAAGGAGAAGAAAAGGGTCATTATTGAGGCTGATGGGAGCTACCCCAGAAGCCAGGGTGCGATTTCCTCAACTGAGAAGGACTGAATATATTTTATACTGAAGGGACATGAAAGAGGAGATAGCTGATGGAGCACGGTTCCTGAGAAGACGGGCAGATACAGAGACCAGGTCAGGGAGCTGACTTTGAACACTGGGAAGACTTCCGTTCTTTCAGGCTAGGAAAGAAGGACTTACAATGGGTCCTTGTAGGAAAGGGGGCAGGAGCTTGAATGAATGTGTAGTGGATGGCCTAAACCTTCTCAGAGTACTGCAGTATAAAGACGCACCAAGCCAAGAACGAAAAAAACCGAAGGAGGAGATCTGGGGCTTCAGGGAAAGTCTCGAAGGCTTAGAACCACATGTTGTAAAATGGAAGAAGGAATTGGCCTTGGGCGTGTAGGCTGATACTTGAGAAGCAATTGCCCCACAAGTCTGCCCAGCCTGACTTCCATGGTTTATTCTAAGTCCCTGCATCTCCTACTGTATTGATTTCAGCAAACCCTCTGATCTCTCCTCGCAACCTGCTAAGAGGAGCAATTTATCTTTCCTCTGTGCTTCTGAGTGGGAAGGAATAGCTTCCAGCAGAGTGCAGCTAAAAACACGGCCCCTTGGAAACAAAAGACGCTTTCTTTTCTTCCCCTGCCCACTGTTCCCTTTGCAGCATCTGGCCAATGAGGATTTAAGTGTTACTTTCATGCACATCAAAACTGTCCTGAGACTTGATTTTAAAATGTCCTCTCCCTTTCCCCTCCATCACCAGCTGTGTGTGTGGGCTCCATCGGGTTATTTACTCTGTGGTAAAAGGTCCTGAGAGACTGTGCTTTTACTGTCCTCAGGTCTTTTTCTGTAGCTATTCTGTTTCCTCACTCCTTTTGTCACTTATTGTCAGACTCTCTGCCTACAATCGTTTGAGGCTATATACTCGTTTCCTAGGGCTGTCATACAAAGCACCGCAAATTGGATGATTTAAAACAAAGATTTATTCTTTTACATCATATACTGGAGGCTAGAAATCCAAAATCTAGGTGTCAGCATGGCTGCACTCTCTCTAGAAGCTGCAGAACAATTCTTTCTAGCCTCTTTCTAGCTTCTGGTGGTTGCTGGCAAGCCTCAGCATTCCTTGGCTTGTAGCTGCATCACTTGACTCTCTGCTTCTATTTCTCTTCATATGGTCATCTTTCCTCTGTGTGTGTGTGTGTGTGTGTGTGTGTGTGTCTGTCTGTCTGTCTGTCTGTCTGTCTGTCTGTCTGTCTGTATTTGTGTCTTATATGGACACTAGTCATTGGACTTAGGGCCTGTCCTAATCTAGTATGACCTCAGCTTAACTAATCACATTTGTAACAACCTTATTTCCAAATAAAGTTACACTCAGATTTCAGATGGATGGATAATGCATTTGGGGGGCACACTATGTAACCTTGTACAACCCTGTTCTAATTTCCTGTTGTTCATATACTGGATTTGCCAAAAAGTTTGCTCGGGTTTTTCTGTAAGATATTATGGAAAAACCTGAAGGAGAATTTTGGCTAGCCCAATACTACAAGCTGGGACATTAATACTATAGCCAAACATAGCCTCTTCTTCCCCAGAAGACGTCAGCCTGCAACCCTCAGTCATCAAGCTGGCTCTAGCCCCCAAATTTCTGAGTGAGGAAATGTTACTACCTCTACTGTAAAAGTGTAAGAGGAAAGCCAAGCCATTTATCTCTCTTCTCAGTGTAGCTCACACAAAGATGGAGCAGGCTGGGGATTCCTAACCCACAGCCAGCTTCCAACAGGGTCTCTAGAACGAGGGTACAGGGGCCTACCTGTAAGTAGAAATTCCTAGTGCCTGGAATTTTTTCTGGACTCTTGTACCAAATGAAAGCTACTCAACAAACTGAGACTCTCAAAATCTGTTAAAATGAAAGATTAAAACTCATGCTATTTCGGATTTCAGAGTATGTGTGCTTGCTGATAAATGTATTTGATTTCCACAGATCAGATGATTCTTTTTCTTATTTTTTCCATTTTCACTATGCTGAGCTGTGGTTATTTGCTGATAATGTAGCCATGAGGTACAATTTTTGTCCCTTTCTGATTTTTCATTTTTAATTTGCAGACTTCCACTTGACCTACTTATTGGAGAGTTAAGGCTTAAACGCTGTAGGCCTTCAGTGTCTCTCTCACCCTATGCAAAGCTACACAGAGAGATGTATGCCTTCTTCCCATTGAATTCAGGGACCGTTCTAAGGGGACAGTGGCGCAGAGATGCTGGCCTGTGCCTTCCTCAGTGACTGTGTTCCCCATCACATCATGTTGATCTAAACATCCACTGCCGACACCTTGACTAATTTGGTGTGTACCTCAGAAGCTTTTCACTCGCCTCTTGTTCTGATGTTGAGGGAAGCATTCTTAACAGGCAGGGTAGCCATTGCCTAAATCTTTAGTATTTTCCCAAAGGTGGGGCCCCCTCATCATCCTACCTTCAGATAAAACACCTCCTTAACTTTAATCAAGAACATATGGGAGTAAACATAACCTGAATCACGATGGATGTGGACGGAAGTGGATGCCAGACAGAAAAGTACAAATAGGAGTATTGATAGGATGACAGGGCTTCTCTGGTAGCTCAGCTGGTAAAGAAGCTGCCTGCAATGCAGGAGACCCTGGTTTGATTCCTGAGTTGGAAGATTCCCTGGCAAATGGATAGGCTACCCACTCCAGCACTCTTGGGCTCCCCTGGTGGCTAAGACTGTAAAGAACCCACCTTCACTGCGGGAGACCTGGGTTCCATCCCTGGGTTGGGAAGATCCGCTGGAAGAAGGCATGGCAACCGACTCCAGCACTCTTGCCTGGAGAATCCCCATGGACAAAGGAACCTGGCGGGCTACAGTCCATGGGGTCGCAGAGAGCTGAACACAACTGGGCCGTTAAGCACAGCGCATAGGATGACAGAAAGGGAACTGGGAAGAAAATGCACATAGGCTTAAACAGAGGAGTTTGTTCAACCAAAGAATGAACTCTCCAGAATTTATTTGCATTCAATCATCACCTTTTAGCCAATCCTTGATTTCTTACCCTTCTACAGATTCTTCTTATACAAGCTTTTCTATTTCTCTTACCATTGATTTCAATCCACCTCGGCTTTCTCCCCACAACCCCCCCCCCAACCCCCTGTTGGAATATTTATGACTGGGTAGCTTGTAGTGATTTTGGCCATGCATTCATTTCTCTCTGCACACTTTCTATTTCCTTCGTGGCTTTCTCTTCAACAGCTTTATCCTGTTTCATTTCCCTCAGCACTTACCCCCTTCTTCCAAAATTAGCTCTACTAAAATTTAATGTCTTTAGTTTCCCCTTCTGCTGTGGCTTCAATTCTCTCTGGTATAAACACAACTATTATTAGCCAATCTCTTTGCTGGTGGGCACGTCTGTCGCTGCAGTATCCACTCTCTTGCTGTGCCCTTGTTTGTGTGGTCTTGAATCCACACAAACACGGCTGCGCTTGCTTCACCCCTTGCCTGTGGTTGGCATGAAGCTCTGGCCTGTGCAAATGACGTGACCCGTCTGTAAGTTTTCTCTGCTCTCAGGACGTCCTAGTATGTCACAGAGTATAGCATATCCGGCTAACTGCTCCCCTCTCTGATGCTACCAACACCACCTAAACTGCTATGACAGCCCATCCTATGGTTAAAAATGTGAATTCCCCTTGGACTGACCGTTAAAAGGGAATGCACTGAAGAGAACCACAGCCTGATTTTCTTTCTTTTTTTTTTTTAACGTGCTTCATTCTCTGACACTGCCGAAACCATTCACGTGGAATATGCATGCTTTCTCTCTCAGCTTACCAGTTTCAAGATGTTCAGTCTGGGCTTGCTCTGTGCTGTGTTTAGGGTATTTTATTCAGCATTCAACTTGAAAGCTTCATTTGATGGACACGACTGAAAGATTGAGGCAAAAAAAAAAAAATTGTTGCTGTTTATGCTCCCAGCCTTCTGGAAGAGTGGAAAAATACTCACCTCTCCTGAACATTTGCTCTACTGGAGTTGCCAAATTATCTCACAGCCAGTCACTCTCCAATTTGACGGCACGGTATTTATTTTTAAAAAATTATGCATTGTGGTGTCTGTTTCTGTCTATGACACATTCTTTATAATAATAATGGTGGTGCTTTGGCCTTTCCGTCTTGCCTTTTAATTCAAGAATCTTCCAGGGCTTTGGACCCCTCATCACCTCTGCAGCATTTCATAGACGAAGAAGCAAGGGCGGAGATTAAGTTACAAGAAGGGCAGAGCTGTGGGGTGGGGTCTCAGCAACCCTGATCTCAGCCAACTGGAAAGTCTTCTACCTCCATCTTAGTGACCTTCCATCTCTCTTACCACTTCCTCCTGCTTTCTTTTTTTTTTTTTTTAATTTTTATGTTATATTAGAGTACAGTTGACTTACAATGTTGTGTTAGTTTTCAGGTGTATAGCAAAGTGGTTCAGTTATCCATAAACATATACCTGTTCTTTTTCAGATCCTTTTCCCATTTAGGTTATCACAGAATATTGCGTAGAGTTACTTGTGCTATACTTGTGATTATCTATTTTGTATACATAGTAGTGAGTACATGTTAATTCTCAACTCCTAATTTACCCCCACCTTTCCCCTTCAGCAGCCCTAAGTTTGTTTTAAAAAACTGTGAGTCTGTTTCTGTTTTGTAAATAAGTTCCTTGTATTAAGTTTTTGGAGTCCACATGTAAGTGACACCGTATTTGTCTTTCTCTTTCTGATTTACTTCACTTAGTTATGCTTATCCCTGGTTTTTTCAGATTGCTACAAATGACATTATTTCATTCTTTTTTTATCCTGCTTTCTTATTAGTGGTAAACTGTTTCCCAAATCCCTCTCTCTCTTTGCATTTTCCCACTATTCACAGACTCTGTATTTATTTTCATTGGAGTATAATTTCTTTACTACATTGTGTTAGTCGCTGCTATACAACAAAGTGAACCTGCTCTATGTATATATATAGCCCCTCCTTCTTGGATCTCCCTCCGAGGTTTTAGACCTTAATAGTATGCCTCACTATTTCAGAAAAGAGAATTATTTGGAGTATACTAGAACCTGAACAATAGTTTTGAATCCCTTGGCATGATAAGGGTATGTCCAAATACCTTAACAGCATATTCATCCATTGAACTGAGTTTTGAAGAACAAACAGGAGTTAACCAGGCAAGAGGGGAGAAAGCTCATTCAACTTAGAGGAAGCAGCACGTGCAAAGTCCCTGTGGTTGGCAGGTGCACAATAGCTTGTATAAAAAGAAGGAGGGTTGGTGGGGCTGGAGCAGGCTCAGGGGTCAGAGAGAATACAGAACCCGATGGGGGTGGAGACAGGGCTGGAGCAGTCCATTTGGAGCTCCATTGACCCGCTAAGAATCTTTGTCAAAGCAATGGTGAGCCTTCAAATACTTTGGGGGATGGAGTGATTAAAAAAAAAAATCTGAGTTTTTAAAAGATCACTCAGACCATGAATTGGAACAAAAACTGAATCGAGCAGCATGGCTCTACAATTGACATGGTGGGGGTGGGGAGAAAGCCAATAACCCCCGGGGATGGCAGACATGTTTTAGAACTTCCTTGGGAGCTCTAAGTGTTTTCAGTGATCTGGTTGCCTGGAAGAAAACTGGGGTCAAGATGAGGAGATCATAGAGGGTAGGGGCCTAAGCTTCAGAAGCAATGAATTTGGAGCTAACCTGATGCCCAAAGGAACATCAGGTTGTAGGTGAGGCAATACCACTGCAGATTCTGGAAAGACTCAGAGAATAGCTCCATCAACCAAACAGGAGGAGAAATCCCAAATGACTGGATAATTACCTCAAGGAGATGTCTTTAAGCTAGAAGAGATGACAAGCTCATGCATTTTGTGCCATCAGCAAAAATGGAGGCTAAAGAGCAAGATGAAGTTAGTAAGGGAAAGTAAAGTGTGTGGTATGTAAATTCAAAACCATTAAAAAACTGATTGAGTCAACAGTGCAAAATAACTATGTACAGTGCCTTCAAAATTGACTAATCTTATACAGTTTTACTTCTTTGTCGATGTCAGCTTCCCTTGATTTGGGGAGCAGCACATTTGGAAACAATTGCTGATCTTGATAATGACTGAAGGAAGTGAGCTTAGGTGTGTGTGTACATGCTCAGTCGTGACTGACTCTTGTGACCCCATGGACTGTAGCCCACCAGGCTCCTCGGTCCATAGAGTTTTCCAGGCAGTAACACTGGAGTGGGTTGCCATTTCCTTCTCCAGGGGAGTCTTCCCAACCCAGGGATCAAACCCACATCTCCTGCATTGGCAGGCAGATTCTTTACCTCTGCACCATCAGGGAATTCCCCCAGTGAGCTTACAAGATGTCATTTTTGACTCAGCTCAATAACCAGAGAATTGCACCTAAAATACTCGAATAGATCCATAACATGCGAGTGTATTGATGGATGATAGAAAATGTAACTCTGGTTAGGTCAGAAATTGCACTGGCCTGAGCAATGTTCTCCCTTTAAGCAAGCTCTCTAGAAAGTGAAATCACCACAGGGGGCTTGGTGAGTGTGGCATCAGAATTGGATTGGAATGTTTATTGGCATAGAGTCTGACAGTCCCCTCGCTAAGATGGGAACATAACTTTCACCCTCTCCCCTCTGAGGTGCTTGGACAGGCATGGCCAAGCTTATCTCTACAACTTTTCTTTCTCTTTGCACCATAGTCTTTTTATTTTCGGCCATTGATTTCTCAGATATTTGCCCACACAGATGAAGACCCACTGGTCAGAATTTGCTCTTTTTTTAATATCAAGAGCTTCCTACCGAGCTTGAAAGAAGTGCAAATTCTGATGCCTTTTATAGTATAAAAACCAAACTCAAGTACCCTTCAGCCTTCATTACAGCAAATCTTGTTATTTAGAAGTTAACCAATTGGAAATTCATTGCATCGCAGCCTCTGATGAATGAACATAGTCATTCCATTTAGCCCATCACAAATGTGTCCTTCTCCAAAGGTGAGTAATTCCAATTTTAATGCCTCAGCTGCTGAATCTGCAGGACTGGCTTCTCATCATCACAAACTCTGCAGAGTAAACACAGAGGCAATGTCCAGAAAGTGGGGAAATCAAGGGGGTTGCTGGCCGTCCTTTAGTTCTCACCTTTCTTTCTTCTTCTCGTATTTTCCTTCTACCCCTCCAAACCCAGCTTCTGTTCTTCTCTGCCCCCAGCTCATAGGCATAAAGTCCCATGGATGGAGAAAAGCAAAACCTGGGGAACAGGGTGACACTATAGATGGGGTTGATGAAAAAGCTTTGATGTGATTTCACCTCCCGAGTCATCCATGCTTCATGCACAACTGGTACCTCTCAAGGCCATTGTTCCAAAGCATCTTTTTGTTGCCTCATCTGTATCCTTGGCTATCCTCTTAGTTCACTCATCGCCTAACTCAAGACTTCCACTGTCACCTTGGNTTTCTAGTTGTGGCGCTGGCTCTAGAGCAGTGGGCTCTGTAGTTGCAGAACATGGGCTTAGTTGCACCGCACAGTATGGTGGTAAAGAACCCAGCTGCCAGTGCAGGAGACATAAGAGATGCGGGTTTGATCCCTGGTTCAGGAAGATCCCCTGGAGGAGAGCTTGGTAACCCACTCCAGTATTCTTACCTGGAGAATGCCATGGACAGAGGATCCTGGTGGGCTACAGTCCTTAGGGTCACAAAGAGTTGGACACAGCTGAAGTGACTTAGCATGCACAAATCACGATAAAGTTGCTTTGAGGTGTTTTTTTTTTATTTAATTCTTTTTTCTTCCAGTTTTATTAAGATATAATTGCCACACAATACCGTGTGAGTTTCAGGGGTGCAGTAGGATGATTTGACTAAGGCAATTTTCTGCCGTACCTCTCGTTATGCTGAAGATCCTCAAATGTTCTTTGTGGTCGTGGACCTTGGCTTCCCTCCCAGGATGTTTCACAGAAACATGATGGTGGCACCTTAGTGCTCAGATATAATTGCCAACTAAAAATAGGAAAGAAGAAAAAAAATCTAGCTTTAGAAAAATGACAGATTGGCAGGCTGAAGGTGGGTTAATAGGAACAGGAATTATCTGCTTGAATGATACTCATTCCACAGTCCTGGTCCCATTAACACTGCAGGCAGGACTGAGATGCTGGTTCCATTAACACGCCCATCCGAGCTCTCTCTGTTTCCTCTGTTCTCCAGTACTGATCAGTTCCTTTAAAAAGTGTCCTCAGGCTGAAATTTTCCCTGTTTGACATCAATCCAAAGGTAAATTGCCTGCAAAGTTTGAGACAAATTGTAATTGTGTTCATGTCTGCTTCGCAACGTGTACAAGCCTTCTTTTCCAGTCAATTTTCATTTTTGAGGGTTTTTCTCTACAGCTCGCTTTGAGTCACTGACAATGATTTGATAACAGACTTTTGTGCTGCATTGTCTAAGGAAGAGCTATTTTTACTTTTGCACATTTAAAAAGAAGAGAGAGTAAACATCATGGCATTATTGTGCCAGGGTGGTGCAATGGTAATGAACCTGCCTGCCAATGCAGGAGACGCAAGAGATGTGAGTTTGATCTCTCGGTCGGGAAGATCCCCCAGAGTAAGAAATGGCAACCCACTCCAGTATTCTAGCCTGGAAAATTCCATGGACAGAGGAGCCTGGTGGGCTACAGTTCATGGGGCCACAAAGTGTCAGACACGACTGAGCAACTGAGCACATACATACAAGTTGCATAAATAAAATACAGTAAGCATTAACAAAATGTATTACCTGGAACTATATTCATATCATGACAGCTAAACAAAAAGAGGTAGAGATAGTTAGACAGATAGATAGATATACAGACAGACATAGTTGGGTTGGTTTGTGTTTATACATATCTAGACAGATCCATTCATCTCTTTATCAGTGATGAATCTAATTTTGACATAGAGATCAAGATTTTGCTGATGGACCTTTATATGTTCTTTCTTGTCCCTGTAGATTAAACGACTTGTACTCTTTTTTGGAGGAACCTGAAGACTATAGGAAATGCCTGCTGGTTTATGAATGGTTGAAGAATGTTTCAAGCTACATTGCTTGGGCTGTAACCAAGGATGTCTGTAACTTAGCAGTCCTGTTACCTGGATGATGTTTTTTAAGGTCATCTCAATGTCAACTCCATCATGTCTCAGGGTGGCAGGATCCCAGTGGGTTAGAAAAGTGAAAGTTAAAGTATTAGTTGCTCAGTCATGCCTGACTCTTTGTGATTCCATGGACTGCAGCCCACCAGGCTCCTCTGTCCATGGGATTTCCAGGAAAGCAATACTGGAGTGGGCAGCCATTCCATTCTCCAGGGGATCTTCCCAGTCCAGGGATTGAGCCCTGGTCTCCTGCACCACAATCTGGTAAAGCAGCTTCTTTACCATCTGAGCCATCAGGGAAGACGTGCGCTAGAAAGCCAGTGTGTAAAGCCAGACCAAGGACGGTAGCAAAGCTCACCAGAACGTTGGAGCTAGTGAACAGGCTCAGGTGTCTGAGTTTTTATGTGGGGTTTCACCAAAGTGTCCTAATGGCCAGAGATGCTCCTTTGAATGATTCCAGACCTTAACTGTACTGACCACTCATGGGGCCACTTTGCCAGGATGGAAATATTATCATATTGTTATTACTTCTTCATTTTCCTTTTGTAAAGAACAGAGGCATTTTGACTAGATCTTGTAGGTAGAGGGCCCTTTTCCTTCTTTACAAGTCAACATGTAACTGAAATTTATAAGAAAGAAATAAACAAGTCACTTAGTCTTCATGACTTGTCCTATTCTAATTTCTGCATGTTCTTCTTCATTTTATCGGTTATAGAAAGAGAGGGAATGAGAGAAGCCTGGATTTTTGAAAAGATATGTCTGTTTTCATCGAATCTGATAAATGTAATTGTACCCAGTTTTAGAAATGCGTTAAGAGGAAATATTTGTTTACACCTTAAGCTGCATAAAAAGCAATATTCCTTCAATCTTGTTAAATCAATTACTCTCTGGGCTTTCAGAAGTTGGCAAGCAATTCTGCATGCCCTCAAAAAGAGCTGAAATTGCAGAATTATTATTTAAAATCTATATGATTCACCTCCTCCAAAAAATCAAACATAATCCCTTCTGAAATTCAGATTGGACAATTTCAATCGCAAAAACATTCATTTATTATTTCTGGCACTCCCTAGGTGTGAGGGACTTCTTGGGCCATTCAATCTGGCCCAGCTTTCATAATGAAATCTATCCCTTAGATTAAAGGAAAATAAACAGACTTGGTACCTTAAGCTAACATGATTTTCTGAGTTTTGGAGGGCAGCAGATTGTTTATTTTTTTTCAACCTGATAAGTTTCCAAGGCGAAATGATTTATCTCTGTCTGGTTCTTCTTGGGATATTCACTGGGCAGAAAGTGGATTAAGGAAGAAGTATAGAATGGGCTGAAATAGAAAGGCAAGGAACTCTATGGGCAACGCTGAATGGGCAACAGACTAACCCGATTACTGTGTATCCTCCAAAGAGAGCAAAAATCAAATTAAACTGGAGAAAAAGAAAGTGGAAAGAGAAGGAAATTGCAATATTTTGGTCTAACGGAGATTGCATTGTAGGGTTAATAGAATTTAGATGGCAACATCATTTTAAAAACTAGATTGGCTTATGCCTATAATTCCTCAATGTACTGTTCACAGGCAAGGTTTGTGTGTGTCTTTCTCTGACATGACACAAGAAAAAAAAATGTTCACAAATGATAATTGCCTAGTGCCAGCAGTCACACAGTTCCCTTTCAAAAGAGAACAGGGAAAAGAGCTGTTGCCAAGGCGAGCTCAAGGCTGTAAGACCCCAGAGTTCTCCAGTATCTGAGTCCCACCCACAGCTGTCATTTCTCTCCAAGGCACCTGCTTGGAACCTGGAGAGGCTCTGTTCCCCAGGCTGACTTGGAGGAAATACCCAGCTGGGATCCACCTAATCTCACATGCACTCTCCAGTGACAGTAACCCCATGGGCTGGGGAGGCTCGGCACTTTCTGAAGGGGGTGCCTTGCAGTGTCACAAACAGTTCTTATGCTCCAGAGACAAGACACACACAGACTTGTGAGCAACCCAGTATGAGTCCAAGTTGAATGTGAATATATGCCAAATTGGTGTACGGACCAGCTGTTCTCAAGGTTGTCAGGATCACGCGGAGAGAAAAAAGTGGAGTTAGGGCCACCATTGCTATGGGGGGCTTCCCAGGTGGTGCGAGTGGTAATGAACCTGCCTGCCAATATAGGAGACTTAAGAGACACTGGTTCAATCCCTGGGCTGGAAAGATCCCCTGGAGAAGGGCATGCCAACCCACTCCAGTTATTCTCGCTTGGAGAATCCCAGGGATAGAGGAACCTGGTGGGCTACAGTCCATGGGGTCGCCAAGAGTCAGACATGGCTGAAATGACTTAGCACACAGGCACCCATTGCTATAGCATCACATTCCACGACCTGTCTTATCACCATCACAGGCAGCATTCAGACAGCACCAGGCATGCTGGGGGCAGGGGGTGGGGAGTGAAGCATTTTAGGCCTCACTGCAATGCTGTGTGTGGTCAAGAGCAGAAAATGAAGAATAGCTACCTCTCAGGAGAGGTTGTCCATACGATGCCTTCAGTAACTCCTGGTGTTAATGTGAGCTCTCAATTGCATCGTCTTCCCCAAATGATGGATGAGGAAACCAAAGCTGAGTGTGGTAAGTTGTAGGTAGTTGCTGGGAAAACTTGAATTCAAACAGTGGTCTGAATCCCAAGGCCATTCCCTTAACTTTGAGATCTTACTTCTCTGGGCTGAGTGGGCATGCGGGTAGAGCCCATGATGTCTGTCAGTAACTTTGAACCACACCTCCATTACATGTCTCCATGACAGCTGTAGGAGGAAGTTTTAAGAGAAGGTTCTGGGGAGGAAGAAAGGCTTTCAAAAATCATTAGGGTTGAGTAGGCAAAGGGAAAGGATGTTTAGATGGTGGAGACAGACTGGGAGACGGCGGGCAGGGCAGTCCCAGTTAACCGTCTGGAAAAAAGGACATTAAGAAAATTAAACTTATACCTCACTCAGTCTTGCTCTCCACAGGGTGCCAGGCATGTGCCACAAAGCATTCTCCTCAGACACACAATTCCCACCAACGTTTTCTTCCTGTCTTTTCATAAAGCTATCATGTTCAGTCAGTCACAAAACCCCAGGGTATCACGGGACCTTGATCCAGATCAGACAAACATTTCCAGGGACAGGGAGCTCACTACTTCTTAAAGGAGCACAGTTCTTTGGATGGACAGCTTTCGTTCCTAGAAAGCACTTCCTTTTGTCATCTCTGCTTCTTAAAGCCCCTCCGATATTTAAAGACCACTACCCTGTACTGAATTTCTTCCTCTCCAGGCCAAAGAAATACAGTTTCCCCATTTTTAAAACTGTCCCAATGCCTTTGCTTTGATGTAACTACTTCCAGTTTGTAACTTCCTGGACACAGCACAGCTTTGGGAAGCAGGGAGTGAGTTCACATTAGCAGATCTACATACAAAGAGTACCACTTTAAGAGAGGCAGAAAGGCTCCAAGAGGAGATGAAAATCATATCACTCGTACATATGTGCAAGTAGCTACATTGCCTGCCATATGAGGGATCCCTCAAGTCTTACTGCAGCTTTAAGAACTTCAGAAGTATATATGCTAAAATCTTACACTATCACACCACTGGAAAGTTAAATTGTGTACATTTCTATTGTATTTATTACATCTTATAAACTTTTAATGAAACATTTTTATGAGAATATTTGTTTCTGGCAACCTTGGCCATCTTCAGAAGATGTGTGACTCCCCTTACTGACCTGCACATAATGGGAATTTTCCATGGTTAGGGGGCTGAGCATAGACTCTCCATATTAGGAGCCAGTGACTATTAGGAACCCAAAGGCCACATTTCAGACACACAAATCTATGCTCAAGGTCTCTCTTTCTTAGCATCCTCAAAGTGTCTTTGGGCTCCAAGATGGCTACTTGAGTGCCTGCCATCATTGTCCCAATGCCTTTGCTTAGATGTAACTACTTCCAGTTTGTAACTTCCTGGACACAGCACAGCTTTGGGAAGCAGGGAGTGAGTTCACATTAGCAGATCTACATACAAAGAGTACCACTTTAAGAGAGGCAGAAAGGCTCCAAGAGGAGATGAAAATCATATCACTAATACATATGTGCAAGTAGCTAAAGTACAACTACATTGCCTGCCATACGAGGGATCCCTCAAGTCTTACTGCAGCTTTAAGAACTTCAGAAATATATGTGCTAAAATCTTACACTATCACACCACTGGAAAGTTAAATTGTGTACATTTCTATAGTATTTATTACATCTTATAAACTTTTAATGAAACATTTTTATGAGAATATTTGTTTCTGGCAACCTTGGCCATCTTCAGAAGATGTGTGACTCCCCTTACTGACCTGCACATAATGGGAATTTTCCATGGTTAGGGGGCTGAGCATAGACTCTCCATATTAGGAGCCAGTGACTATTAGGAACCCAAAGGCCACATTTCAGACACACAAATCTATGCTCAAGGTCTCTCTTTCTTAGCATCCTCAAAGTGTCTTTGGGCTCCAAGATGGCTACTTGAGTGCCTGCCATCACAGCTCTGTTCCATTAAAGCAGTGGGAAGAAGCAAAACAGTAGAAATGGACACACTTCTCCATTCTTTTAAGAAAGTTTCCCAGAGTTCCTACATAGTACTTTCACTTATATCTTATTGACCAAAATTAAGTCATAGCTAGACTTTGGCAACATAGCTGTGAGGAAGGCTTAAAAATCTTGTCTTTATTCCAAGCAACAGTACAGTCAGTTTAAAAAGTAAAGGATTCTATGACTAAGGAAAATGGGAAGAATGCATGTTGGAAGATAATTAGAGTTTCTGTTCTCCTCAACCAGCATTGTACGAGAGCACCTACTCCCCCATATCCTCACCATCACTGAGTATTACTGTTTCTTTACATCTTTGCCAAATGACATGCTCTAAATGGTATCATGTTATTTTATTTATGTTTCTCTCATTACTGTAAAGGGTGAGCATGCTTGCATATTTATTAACTACTCGTAGTCTTCTCTGATAAGTTGTTCTTTATATCCATAGCCTACTTTTCTCTTTCAACTTTTTCTTACTGATTATTAAGAGCCTTTTATATATTAGAAATATAAACCATATACCCTACAAACTTTTCCTCAGTTTTTAAAATTTTACCATTAAAAAAATATTTTATGTCCCTTAGCCATCAGTATAGATACTATCCAAAAAAAGCCAGAAGATATGACAATTGTTGGCAAGGATACAGAGAATTTGGGATCCTTGTGTACAGTTGATGGGAATGTAAAATGATGAAGTGCTATGGAAAACATTATAGCAATTTTTCAAGATATTAAAAATAGAATGACCAGGTGATTCAGTCATTCCACTTGATATAGACCCCAAAGAACTGACAGCATAGTCTTAAAGAGATATTTGTACATTCACATTCATGGCAGCCTTATTCACAATAGCCAAAATGTGGGACTAACTCAAATGCCCATTAGCAGACGAACAGATAAACAAAATACAGCACACAGTACAATGGAATATTAACCAGCCTTAAGAAGGAAGGAAAATATAACACTTGCCACAGCATGGATAAACCTTGAGGATACTATACTAAAGGGAATCAGCCAGTCACAAAAGGACAAATATTGTATGATTCTACTTATACGGTGGTACCTACAGGGGTCAAGTTCATAGAGATAGAATGTAGAATGGTAGTTGCTAGGGGCAGAGAGGAGGGAACAACAGGGAGTTGTTTAATGGGTTACAGAGTTTCAGTTTTGTCAGATGAAAAGAGCTCTGGAGATTGGCTGTGAAGCAATGAGAAAGTACTTAATACTACCAAACTGCACACTTAAAAATAGTTAAGATAATATATTTTATGTTATGTATAGTTACCATAATTCAAATATATTTTCTTTCACTAGATTGAAAATCCTTCTTTTATAGTTTTTGCCTTTCGCAATCATGTTTAGGAAGTCTTTTTTCACCTCCACATGAAAAACGTTTTTATCTGTGTTTTTTTCTTCTGTGGTTGAGTGTGGGATACTCAGGTACAATGGATTCATTTCCTAAGATATTATCAGTGGTTGACAATAATAAGTTCTTAGGCTCCTCTGTTATTCACTTTTTTCCTGTAGTCCTCACTTCCTATTCCAATCCTCTGCTTCATAAAACCATTCTAAGGTATTGAATATGTATCTTTTTCATTTGCATATGTTTTTGCTAAATATGTATTGTATGAGATTCACACATCTTAACTGACATGAACGATATTGTGTTATATATCTCACTCTGCTTCTTACTTGTTTCACTCGGCATTGCATGTTTAAGATGCTCTGTGTGCACTTGGTCCATCGCTTCTAATTTCTGCTCAGCCTTCCGTGGTGTGCCTCTTAACATTTTACCAATCTGCTGTCCCAGCACTGAACATTCCAACTGCCTCCAGCTTCCCAGCACAAACAACACGGCATCCACTTATGGATTGTGTGAGATGGATTTCATTTATCAGAATGAAGGACTTCTGTTCAACAAAGACTAACATTTATAAAACTGGCATTTTTAAAATGACAAAGAGGAAAATGGTATTCACAATGTGAAAATTAACAAGGGGTTAATATCTACAACACACAAGGAACCTTCTCAAATCAAGAAGAAAAATACAGAAACCTCAGTAGACATTGGGCAAAGGAGGTAAACAGGTATTATAAAAATGGAAGTAAAAAAACTAAAAAGTATTTGAAGAGATGTTCAAATTTATTAATAATCTGAGATGTGCATTTTTAAACAAACTTGTGCTCTTAGAATGACAAAACCCAGAAACTAGATAATATCACATATTTGTGTGGATCTGCTCACACGGAACCCTTGCACTGCCAGTGGGAGTGTAAACTGCGATCAAATTAAGTGCATACACACTCCTGACCCCAAATTCCACTCTTCCACCAGCACTTTTATCGTTTGGGGGTTTGTTTATTTTTAGCACATAAATATTTAATCCATCTGGGATTTATTTTGTTGTAGAGTATAAGTATTGAGCAATATTTATTTTCCCCAAATGTTTGGCCAGTTGACTTAACACTTTTGGATGACACTACCTTTTCCTCCACTGTCTATCCTTCACTGACTTCTTATAGATTCCTGGGTCTGATTCCAGGTTTTAGGTTTCTAAACAGTGTATCTTGGGGTTGCCAAGAAGTGACCCACTTGGAGAATGTTTAATCCCTCTTGTGCTTTGTGCTTTGATGTCAACAGTCATGTACTAGCTACAGATCCAAAGGAAACACAGTCACAGAAACCAAGGCTGTTTTTTCCTGATAGTTATAAATTCCTGTTGGATGGAACTCTGGTTTCTGGCTTTTATCCTTAAAGGAGCGAGCCCCGTTCACATTCCTCCATCCTGGTCTCCCAAACCTCTTGTAGCATCTTGTTCCACCTCTTTGACGCAAGAAGTTACATTTTTATTATTCAATATTTATTTATTTGGCTGGGCTGGGTCTTAGCTGCGGCACTCAGGATCTGTGATCTTCGCTGGGGAATACCGGATCTTAAGCTACACCATGGAGCAGGAAATGGCATCCCCCTCCAGGACGCTTGCCTGGAAACCCCCATGGACGGAGGAGCCTGGTGGGCTGCAGCCCATGGGGTCGCTAAGAGTCGGACACGACTGAGCGACTTCACTTTCACTTTTCACTTTCATGCACTGGAGAAGGAAATGGCAACCCACTCCAGTGTTCTTGCCTGGAGAATCCCAGAGACGGGGGAACCTGGTGGGCTGCCGTCTCAGGGGCTGCACAGAGTCAGACACGACTAAAGCGACTTAGCAGTAGCAGCAGCAAGCTACAGCATGTGGCTGGAACCCGGGCCGCCTGCAATGGGAGCTCGGAGTTTTAGCCACTGGAATACCAGGGAAGTCCCAAGAAGTCAAATTTTACATCTCTCTCTGTCTCCCTGTCTCATTGAGTGCCCAATTCATCCTGTTTCAAAAACGAAGTTTGAAGTCTTGAACAGAGTTTGGAAACCAGAAAACCTCTCTGGAGATTAGCAATTTAGCAACTTGAAGATTTCACACAGACCAAAAAAACAAAAAACAGAAAACCCACCTTCAGAACTGTAGCGCCTCTCGGTTCCTAACAGTGAGCCTGGGGGCACTCCCGCGAGATCTCGCGTTCTTCCCGTGCATGCTCAGTCCAAGAAACAAGATGTCTGACCACAGAGGGTTAACACCCTGAGAAGCTCAGACACCTGAAAACTATCTTCACATCAGGAGAATCAAGTCACATTGCCAGGATGCAGGAAAGTGTGTTCTTCTTGAATCAGAGTGACAGTCACTTTCGTCTTAAAAGATGCAGACAAGCACTTAAAGGCTGTCAATCATTTCCCTTGAGGGGAGACAAGAAACTTTTAACATATGAATTGCCAATATTTTTCCACAGTAAGGTAAGTAGAAAATTGCTTTTAATGTTAAAAAAAAAAATTGCTGGACCAAAAGACCATGTTTTTTTCCACGAGAATATTTGGAATAGTATTCATTACCTGTCAGATTAAATAATAATATTGGGTTGGTCAAAAAGTTTGTTAGAGTTTTTCTGGAAGATGTAAGGGAGAAACTTGAAAAAACTTAAAAAAATGTTTTTCCAACCCAATAATGATAATAATAGACTTATTAAAGCATAAAGAAAAAGATCTCGTCTGACTTCCCTTGAAGGTGATGTTCCATGAGCAGCCTGGAGAAAGATAATATGCCAGAATAGCATGTTTTCTGCTGAAGAAAGCTGACAACCAAATTGTGCTGTCCAATGTAGCAGCCACCAGACACATGGAGCTATTTAAATTTAGTTAAAATTTGATAAAACTAGTTTTAGTCATACTAGCCACATTCCAAGTGCTTAACAGCCCAATGTGGCTAAATGACTGCTATACTGAATAGCACAGGAATAGAACATTTATATTATCACAGTAAGTTCTACTGGACACCACTGATTAGATCTTTTCTACTTAAAGTATAATCGCTCTGGCCTCTCCTAGGAGCAGGGATGGCTCCATGGGCATGTGGCCTATAGAAGGGCAAAAGACCTCATGCTTAGGACTCTGCTTGTGGTTTAATACTTCGTTGTCACTATTTTGAAATTGTTGATTTTTTAATAAGAAATCCTGAAATTTCCTTCCCTCTCGAGACCCACAAATGATGCAACCGCTTCTGCCTGGGTGCTTGTTACAAATGTAGAACCTCAATTACATTTGCTGAATCAGAACCTGAATTTTAACAAGACTTCCAGATGACTTAGGGCTTCCCCAGTGGCTCAGTAGTAAAGAACCACCTGCAATGCAGGAGACACAGGATCGATCTCTGGGTCAGGAAGATTCCCCTGGAGATGACATGGCAACTCACTCCAGTATTCTTGCCAGGAAAATCTCATGGACAGAGGAGTCCATGGGGTTGCAAAGTGTTGGACTTGACTGAGCACAGATGACTTAGGACATTAAACTTTGAGAACCAGGATCTTGAAGAATAATTCTCAAACATTTTAAATCTACAGACTCTTTCTTAAACTGATTAAAATTTGCACAGATTCAAAGATATAAAATAGATGAAAATAATTATGCCCATTAGGCAATTATGTAATCATTGATCAGCTTAAATAATATCGGGTTATTTGTGGATCCCTAGGATTTTTTTTTTTTCATTTATTTTTATTAGCTGAAAGCTAATTACTTTACAGTATTGTAGTGGTTTTTGCCATACATTGACATGAATCAGCCATGGATTTACATGTGTTCCCCATCCCGATCCCCCCTCCTGCCTCCCTCCCCATCCCATCCTTCTGGGTCTCCCCAGTGCACCAGCCCTGAGCACTTGTCTCATGCATCCAACCTGAGCTGTTTCACCCTTGATAGTATACTTGTTTCAATGCTATTCTCTTGAAATATCCCACCCTCACCTTCTCCCACAGAGTCCACAAGTCTGTTCTGTACATCTGTGTCTCTTTTTCTGTTTTGCATATAGGGTTATCNCTCAACATGAGGAAACCTTTTTTTTCTTTCTCTTTTCTTATTGTATCCGTATGAGAGGATGGGTGTCAGATGAACCTATTGTGACCACAATTTCACAACAGATGTAACTCAGACTGTACACCATAAGCTTATACAGTGATGTACGTCTATTATTTCCTGAAAAAACTGGAGGGGAAAAAAGAAACATTTTTATCTTGCTAGAGAGCAAGGTTGATTGCAAACCGGCTGTTTCATTTTAAAAATCCCTCTTAAGACAAAGGGGAAACACCAAGAGGGAGACTGAAACAGCAAGCCTGGCAAAGCATGATGTCCGCGATTGACTCCTGATTAGAACAGGACAGTTAGAGGGGCGGGGTGGAGCAGACCAGAGGCAGACCCCCGACACGCCTCCGCACGGACTCACAGCTCCTCGGGAGACCCTGGCTGACAGTGAAGTGGCTGGATCGGCAGCTACTGGGAGGTGCATATGGAGCCAGTTAGAAAGTCAGGAAGGTCGTTCTGGTGACTTTGAACAGCGAGTAGCAGAAGGAAACCCTCGGAGGGGCTTCTGACAGCAAAATGTAAGTCTTCCATGGGTAGAGACAGATCAGAATTCAAGTGAGCTAGAGTGCTGCTGAAGAATAAAAAGGGTGTCAGATAACTGGTGGTACATTGGTGTGAAAAGCCCATGTCGTGCGAGGTGTGGCATTTCCAAGGACTGTTACTGGAGTGTAGTCACTCACAGGGTCATGCTCACTTCCACCGCACAGTGAAGTGATTCAGCTCTGTTGCTGTTTGGTTGCCAAGTCATCCGACTCTTTGCAACCTCATGGACTGCAGTGCGCCAGGCTTCCCTGTCCTTCGCTGTGTTCCAAAGTTTGGTAAACCCACATTCACTGAGTCAGTGATGCCATCCAAGCATCTCATGCTCTGTCATCCCCTTCTCCTCCTGCATTCAATCTTTCCCAGCATCAGGGTCTTTTCCAAGGAGTCAGTTCTTCGCATCAGGTAGCCAAAGTATTGGAGTTTCAGCTTCAGCATCAGTCCTTCCAGTGAATATTCGGGGATGATTTCCTTTAGGATGGACTGGTTGGATCTCCTTGCAGTCCAAGGGACTGTCAAGAGTCTTCTCCAACACCACAATTGTTACACTTAAGTAAGTGAGGTTAGACTGGTCAAGTAACCTACCCAAGCAGAAGCAGAATTTAAACTCAGGTTCAGAATTTGGATTAGGATGGAATGAGTGAAGTACTCTCAAGTGCAAATTGTAAGGGGAAATGGGCAGAAAAAACTCAGTAATCAAGGTAAATAATATTTAAATTCAATAATTTTAAAGAATCTGAATACAAAAATATCCATGATGAACAAATTGCCATAATTTGAAATAAAGACAGACTGCTGGTTGTGACCCTGCACTATTGTGCAACAGGGATGGTTCCTTTCAGTCAACTCATTGTTCCCAGTAGTGCAAGACCTTCAGTCTCCACTGCCTTGATGCCCACGGTTGACCATAGTTCATGAACAGATTGGACAACACAGACATTATATTCAGTCTTGCTTTCTGATAGAGATTTTATAAACATTTCTCATTTTGTCTGAACTACAGGAGGATGTTTTGATAAAAGCGTTTATTAGAGGTCAGGGGCTTCCCTGGTGGCTCAGCTGGTAAAGACTCTGCCTGCAGTGTGGGAGACCTGGGCTCAAACCCTGGGTTGGGAAGAGCCCCTGGAGGAGGGAAAGGCTATCCACTCCAGCATTCTGGCCTGGAGAATTCCATGGACTATATAGTCTATGGGGTCGCAAACAGTCGGACACGACTGAGCGAATTTCATTCACTCACTTAGAGGTCAGACTTTTTTTATTTTGCCTCAGGCTGCAAATGTGGCTTGCCACTGCCCAGGTTTGTTAGATTCTAGATTCTGGGTTAGAAAGTCTACTTCGGCCTACACCTGTGGCTCTGAATACTGGCTGCACATTCAAATAACCTGAGGAACCATCAAAACATCTCCATGCCCCGGACCCATCCTCAGAGTCCTTTTAGTTTGCCTGAGTGATTCTGAATGGGGCTTGGCTTTGGGTTTGTTGCAAAACTCTCCAGTTCATTCTAATGTGTGGCCAAGGTTAACAATGATTTTGCCACTCTGCACTGCCTCCCTTCAAGGATGACAGAAATCCAGCACACAAAATGAAGCTCGCTTTGAACTTTCTCTAAGGTGAAGTTGGCTGGAAAACACATCCTCTTTCAGACTGGAACAAGAATCATAGAATTTTAGATCTAGATGGTGCCTGAGGAATCATAGATTGTTGAGCTAAAAGGACCTCTAATTAGATTGCCAATCTTACTAATGAGAAAACAGAGGCTCAAATATCATATGATCTCATTTATATGAAGAATCTAAAAGATAAAACAAAACTAAAGTTCCCAGATACATAAAACAGACTAGAAGTGGGGGTGGGCAAAATGGATGAAAGTGGTCAAAATGTACAACCTTCCAGTTACAAAATAAATCAGCCATAGCAATGTACAGCATGGTAATTATAGTTAATGATACAGCACTGTATATTTGAAAGTTTCTAGGAGAGTAAATCTTAAAAGTTCTCATCATAAGAAAAAAATTGTAACTATGTGTGGTGAAGAATGTTAACTAGACGAATTATGGTGATTTTGCAATATAAACAAATACCAAATCATTATGTTGTACACCTGAAACTAATATGTATAATACTATATGTCAGTTATACTATGTCAATTATGTTCTGGGTACTTTCTCTGCATAACAAACCGACCCTAAATTTAGTAGTATAAAAGGAAAACATTTTACTATGTCCACGATTCTGTGGGTCAAGGTTTTTGACAGAGCACCATGTATTAGTGCATGCGTGCTAAGTCACTTCAGTTGTGTACAACTCTTTGTGACCTTATGAATTGTAGCCTGTCAGGCTCTTCTGTCCATGGGATTCTCCAGGCAAGAATACTGGAGTGGCCTTCCTCCAGGGGATCTTCCTGACTCAGGGATTGAACCCAAGTCTATGTCTTCTGTAATGGCAGGCTGGTTCTTTAACACTAGCACCACCTGGGAAGCCCTGTGTCAATTATACACCTATTAAAAAAAAGAAAACAGTGGGTCAGAAAGATAACCAGACTTGCAAA